ATGTAAATATATGTTATGTAGATATCAATTTTTATTTTTATTAATTTTAAAAATATTCTTTTAATATATTTTTATTTAATCATGAATAAAGTTGAATTTTAATTGCTAATTATATAATTCTTTTATGTTTACAAATAATAAATATTACAAATAAAATTAACAGGTTATAGCAAAAATGACTGTATTATTATTTGTCACAATTTAAATGAATCTAGCAAATTTTTCCTAATTATTGATAAATATTTGATAAATACAGTATTAAATTTTTTTAATATAGTTTTAATGTTTTGCATATTTACAGTATATATTTGTTTTATATTTTAAAATATAATTTTACATTATTCTAAAAAATTTAATAAAAATTTAAATATTAATTACCTGAATACTTGTCCCTAGAGGAGGATAACTTGTAGTCTCTGTTTTCTCTCTCCTTCTTGTATAGGGGCTTGGATGTGTAACTGCGAGGACTATCTCTATCTGTTCCCATGCCCATACCCAAGCCCCCAGCTGGACTATAAGAGTTGCCATTTGGGGAATCTCGCATACGTCCTTCGTAACGACTATCTGATGATGTTGTTGATGAGGAGTAGCCACCCTTAGAACTACTATACTTTGCGTTCTGTAAAAAAATATGACATATTTAATATAATTAAAAAATTATTTTAATTAATTATCAATTATCAATAAATGAAAAAAAAATAAAATTTTGTATATTCTTCTTATATTTTTATTGTTAATTAATATAAAAAATAATTATTAATCAAAATTGTTATTGTGATAAATTATATACAAAAATTAATATATATAAAATTATTTATTATATTAATTTCAATTATACATATAAAATATCTAATTATATATTATATTTTATGTAAAAAACATAATATAATATTATTGATGTGACTTAAATGAAGAAAAATTCAATGCATTAAACATAAATGAAATATCTGAAATTATTTATTATTTTTATTAAAACATAACTGTTACAAGTAATGTATTACAAAAAAAAGATTATAATTAATATATTTATGTAATATTTCCAATATACTATTAGTAATCTGTATAATATAGAAGAATGAATTATTGATTTTCTAAAAGTGAGGTTATGTTTACAATATTAAATAAAATTTGTAACTTTTAGCAAAAACATTAAAAATGAGCAATTTATATAATATTTATAAGATATTAAACATAAATTATAAAATTATATTAAAAAATATATACAACTATTGCATGTTTTTTATAATATTGATAATTAAATGAATATTTCCAAGGACAATATCTAGTTAAAATTTTTATATGAATTTTAAAAAAGAATATCAATTTTTTTATCATGTTTAGTTTTTATATATTTTTATATGATAGCAAAAATAAAATAAAACAAAAATAAACCTATATTAAAAAAAATTTTATACTCAACAAATATATATATAATTTAATAATTCAATGCTCTTTTATATTCATTAAATAAGATTTTTGGGATTTATCAATCGAAAAATAGGCAATAATCAGTTCACTTGTAATTTTAAAATATATGTTTTTTAATATATAAAGATTAGCAAATTTATATAGAAAATAAAAACAGTATTTTTTTTTTGTGGTACATATGATTTACAAGTCATATTTTAAAATTTTTAAAATAACTAAACGAAATTATTTGACACTCGATTATAGAAATCCAATATAAAAA